CACCACCGCCAGTTTCGCCGCCACCAAGTTCGGCTCCACCAAGATGAAGAGGAGCGGCCTGGCGGGGACGGGAGGAGGAGGAGGAGGAGGAGGAGGCGGGGGGGGAGGGGTGGCCCCGCAGAGGATGGTGCGCTCGCCGACGAACGTCGCCCACTCCCTCCTGGGCAAGCAGAAGCCGCTGTCCCTCTCCCTGCACTCCCTGGGAGGCCTGGGCGGCAGCCAGCTGTCCCCCAACGCTAAGGAGTTCGTCTACCCAGGATCCCCCGGGGCGCTGTATTTCGACGCCGATGCGCCGTCATCCCATGCCAGCCCCTTCCAGCCCCCTCCGCCGCCGCCCCCCGCTCCCCCTCACACTCACCCCCACCCCTCGTTTGACCCCTTCTCCAGCCCCCCTCCAGGCTCCGGGGTGGGGCTCGTTGGCGGCGGCGGTGGGATCTCCAGTAGCCTCTACATGGACAAGCCTGCCTATGTGGACAGCCTGGGCGGCTACAACCTCCAGTACCCCAGCCAAGCGTTTCAGCCCGTCGTCTTGGCCAACTGATGGACCTTCTCTGGCCGCGGGTGGGGTGACGGACGTGAGAAACAGTTCTATTTTTTTGGGGGGGGGGTAACTTTCTTCTTACTGGAATTACTGCTTGGAGGAGTGTTATCACTACTAACATTACCATTATTGCACACGTCGTAGTTTATGTACGTTCTGAGTTCGTTAAATGAGGTTTGGGGGTACCCAGAAGCCTGTTGCACAGTAGTGTCCCCTCCCGGTCCATCCTGCATTTAAAAATGAACGGATGAAGCTTGGGTCACAGCGGGGGTATCTAGTGGGCTCCTAATCTGTGTGCTGAAGCAATCCTTTCCTGTCAGGCACGAGGAGTCGCTCCAGAGCGCGCTGGCGAATACCAGGTCGGGAGACGGTCCTCTCCGCTCCAGACTTTGGGCCACATTTGCTCAGATTTCACTTAGACAGACCAGCGGTCTGAGGCACTTGGTTGCAGGTTCCTGTGGAGGGCTTAGAGGAGACCCTCGCGTGTTCTGTCCCCGCCTGTAGCATTAATGACCCAGGAAGGGCACCCCCAGTGCTGGACCAGACTGAGAGCAGCACCTTGATTCCAACACCCCCACTGCTGGGAAGGGTTAGTTGGTTTGTCTGTTCCCCCCCCTCGTTGATGTGCACCAGCCTCTGTTGAGAGGCGTGTGAAGCCTTTCATTTCTCAAGGCAGGACAGCCCGAGATCTCTCCAGCTCCCCGGGCGTGTGGGCTCGGGCTTCCTGTGTGCGGTCAGGCTGGGCCGAGGCCTGCAGGGAGAGCTGACCGGTCGGGCGGTCAGTCGGCGTTGTGCTTGGCCGAGCGGGGCGATAGCCGGGGCAGTAGGGTGTGAAGGAGAGGAGAGGAGGCGCCCGAGTCCTGACCAGACTGTGATAAATGGATTAGCGCTCCTCTGTTGTGAAGGACAAATTTGATCCAGGTGGAGGGGGGAGGAGGGGGGGTGGTATTTATTGCAGCCTGTGGTTGCTATGGAGTCCAGTCTGTCCATTCCACCCTGCGTGTCCATACTCTCTGTGCTCTGTTCCTGGACCGTGGAGCCAATGTGGAGGTTTTTAACTGAGCTATTAACCGTTGATGTGCTTTTTTTGTTTTTTTTTTCTCCTTTTTGGTTCGTGGTTTCGCTGTGTGGGAGGTGTGGGGTTACTGTGAGTCCAGTCTGCACTGAAACGGAAAGCTGTTGGTCCTGTTGGCCGAGGCTCCGAGCCCTAGTCCACTTGTGGGGCTGTACTGCCTGAGGGCTGTGGCTCGGAGGTGGTCTTGGAACCCCAGTGCTGATGGCTGCTGGTCTTGCCCTGGCGGTACAGCGATGTCGAACCCTTGCCTCGGATTTTCCTCCTGAGCCCCCGGGTTCGAGGCCTGGCGTTGAACGCGCGTGAGTCGCCGGGGGTGCGCGGCGAGGTGCCGGAGAGTTCGTGAGCCGCTCGCCCGTTAGGAGCGAGCTCGGAGGGCGGCGCCCCCGGGTTGCTGGGGGGATATGGAAAGCGGGGGCTGGTACCAGTGGGCGGGGGTGGAGGAGGGGCCCGGCTCGTGTCTCCGGGTCCTCACTGGTGCTGCCGAGGGGCTGCGTTTGAGGTTCCTCTAGGACTGGGGGGGCGGAGTTACGTGGATTGTGGGTGACCCTCAGTGTAGTGTTGTGGATCCCCGATCCCCCTGGTTTGGGGTCCTCTGTCTCTGGATCTGATGAGGTCTCGGGGTGTCGGCTCACATGGGGGGGTGAGAGTATATGCAGGCCCGGTTCTGGTTCCAGTTGGGCTCTTGCCCCGGACCCGCTGGCCTGCTGAGCAGCTGCTCCTCCGCTCTGAAGCTGCTGCTGGTGTTTTGGGGGTACACCTGTCAGTCTTCCTGGGCTGGGACTGCACATGCCCCTGCAACGGGGATTGTGGGGTGCTTTGGCGGTGGGGGGGAGGATGTGTTTCAGAACAGCTGTGGGAGATCCAGCTAGCCAGGGCGCTGTGCTTTTTTTCTGGGAGGGGGGGGGCTGTTCCGAAGTCGCGTGGACACGTTCTTTGCCGACCCGACTTCCGCTTGACGTCATCGCGCTGCCTTTTATCCTGCGTGTCGACAGCACTTTCCTCATCTCGTGTTCCTTTCTAAAGAAAATGATTTAATAGGTTTGTAAAAGTAAGATATTATATATATATATAAAAATGTGTATATATTTCCTAACGTACGTTATTATCGAGGAAATGTTTTTTTCATGTTTATTTTTTTCTTACGCGATCAAATTATTTTTTCAATAAAATTTGATTAATATATATCTAAGCAAGCTCAAACAGAAAATCGTGTTAAAAAATGTATGATCCTGTACAGAATTTCTTCAATAAAAGATGACCTAATCTGTTATGCAAGAGGATCTTATTTGTATTCTTGTTTTTATCCCTCCGCTGCAATTCACGCACGAGTTTGGGGGAGGGGGGGTGCGGGTTTTAATTATGGTTTTTCTGTGCGTGGGGCGCGCCGCGGCAGGAACACGCTCTCTAGTGGGGAGGTGGAGGGGGGGTAGGGGCGTGAATGAACCGTGCTTGTACCTACGTGGCGCGACACGCGTGACCTCCGGGTGGGGCGCTCTGCTTGACCCCCAGCGGTCTCCCCGACAGCCGCCGCCGCAGAGAGGGGTGGGCCAGCGGGCCCCGGGACGCTGCGGGCACGGTGGGATCTGTCCAGCTGCAGCAGGTCGAGACCGGCCCCTCTCACGTCGAAGGGCGACGCTATACAGCTGAACCCCACTTCACGGGCGGATTCTCAC